TGTTATATGGGATAAATAGGTAAAAAAGCTGAGACCTACTTTGTAGTTCCATCAACTCCAGTATTTATTATCAGCATTTTTCTAAATAAATGAGTGAGAGTTTTGTGATTTATCATAATAAAATGAACAATGTTTCCCCGAGGCTTATTGCTTTTTCAGGCTTAAGCATTTTCATTGAAAATACTGATGGATTGAACCTCTAGGTCATGGGTTTAAACCTCCTTGGATCACCTACTTGAGATACTTCAAGATTAGTTATCCAAGTTTTCAATACTATTGGATCTTTTGCTTGGTCCCTTGTTTTTAATATCAAGCAAGCGTAGAAAGGTGAGAACATTTCTGATAGACTCTAAAACAAGAAATAAAAAAGAATACATATGCCCCCCGTGAATCAATTTCAGAAAGAGGGGATGCTGACCAGGAATTCTGAGGGCTTAGTCTCTCCATAGGCATAAGTGCCATATAAATTCATTTAAAATTTATACCCCACTTCCACTTCCCCAAGTATTAATTCTCTATCAAGAAATTTTTCTTCATGTCACATTACAGCGTAGTTTAGTTCTAAAGTCCTATTTTCATGGTATTATGAGAGATAAAAACATGAGAATGGGTTACAAGCGATTTATCTTATGTGGATCTAGTAAAGAAAAGTGGTTTCTGATCGTCCAAGTAATTTACTTCTTTAGTGAACCTTCTGCTATAATTGAACTTTGTTTCTAGAAATTCTTCTTGGATTAAAAAACACATATCTTTTGGCCAGTTTCTGTTATCAGGTACTGAATACATTACTTTTCTTAATTGTTTGTACATTTTCAACCAGATAAAGGACATTGCCTGGAGAATGGGGAGTCTATCGTATGAATTGGAATTTGTTGACTTTCCTGATGAAGGTACGTACTTATCTTTATTCTTTGTACTAGCTTGTCCCTTTCTTGGTCGAAGCCTTCAAGAGTTTTCATGGAATACGACTTCTATTATTCATTGATTTTATTATGACATCAAGTGAATGATATTGCGATGAAAAATTCCATTACTTTGACTATGCTTTTCATTACGAAGGATCCTTATTGTTTGATCACAAATGTATAACTAGTTTTCCAAATCAGCGTGGAAAATACTTTCTTTTGTAGTATAGCCATCTTTTGATCTCCAAACGTTGTGATCACAATTAGCTGATTTGACTACTTGTTTTGAAAATTGGAAGAATGTGTTATATCTTTGTAGAGAACAATTATAAAGTAGTTTGAAGAGGGGACTGCCCATTCTTAGACTAACAATTTGAATTAATTGTGAACTTCTTTGAGAATTCCATTTGCATTTTTGTCGTATAGTTTTACAGTGGTTGCTTGGCTTCTGTTCAGTACTTGGTAGTAAAAAACTTGTGGAATATTTACCAGCAGTAGGTTGAAGTTGATTTCAATTTTGGGTGAGCCTGAAGCCTTTCGTTAATTGATGCTTGTGGCTGAAATTATTTGTAGAATAAATATTTAGTATGTAGTCATGAAACATATTGGATTCAGTTTCTGGGACAATACTATATTCACGGTTAGAACTTGTCTCTGATTTCAGAAGTAGTATGGACAAAGCCGTTTCAAAAACCACCTGCAGCCTTTGGTATCCCATCAAATGGGCCAAAAGGGCAGTTGATGGTGCGTCCTCAGTTTCCACAAGTATATCGTGAAAAACAATTATCTGATAGTACCAACTCTCAGCTAGAGGTGACTGTTGTTGTGAATGATGTCTGGAAGGTGGGGGATTTAGTTGATTGGTGGAAGGATAACTGTTATTGGTCTTGCAAAATAATTGCAATATTGGGAGATGAGGAGGTCAAGGTACTTTTATTTACCTACTACCTTAGATTTTCAACTGTGTTCATTGGTTACTTCTTACTTATTCCTTATTAACTTAATCATGGATGATAGAGTGGATAGTGCAACGACTAACCAAATGCTCGGCTTTTATTTGTGACTAAGGATGCCTTTTCCCCAAAAATATTTATTGCCCAATTTTTTGAAGAGAAATATCTTAGCTACCTTGTCAGATATAACAAGTCAGACCAACTGTTTGATTTGTCTCCACTGTCTAATTATCGTGTGTAACTTTATTCATTAGTTTGAAGGCAATTTTCAAGGGATTGATTATTTTTCTTTTGTATTATCCTGTTTTTTCAAGGTTGAGCTGCTTCCCCCTCCATTTGGTGAAGGATCGGCTTATCATGCCTCCTCCAAGGATTTGCGGCCATCCTTAGACTGGTCTCCGGGATCTGGTTGGACGGTCCCTGATATGAAGGTGTCATTCTCTCAACCGTTCTATTCAATATTGGTCTCGTTAGTTAGAAATTGGGGCTTTTGTGCGTGAGAATTGGATTTTTTTCCCGTCTCAAGGGCTTGTTTTCAAAACTTTGGGTTGAAAACTTGATAAAAGAAAGCTTGGTTGGATGATTCAGATACTAAAGTCTTTTTTGTTGTCGTTCGCTTGGTACTAAGGTCTTTGTAATTCCTTTGTGGTTACAGGTGAATGGAAGTGCTCAATGTGCTCGGGTGCTTAACAATGGAAGTGTAGGTAAGAGCCGCAATAATAACACTAATCACTTCTAAGAATGTATGAATTATTATATTTTACAGTTAATGGCCACTTGTTTGTACATTAGAAAGATCTTCTTACAAGAATAATAAGCTATTTGTTTTATTCATTTATGTTTTGGGATTGATTCATTATGGTCTCTTGGTGATGCACGATAGCCTCGAGACCCCAGAACGTGAGTCAAGGAAATGACAGTGAAGCCGCAGCTGGAAACTCAAATGCATCGTTAGATTTACAGGCTAGTTCCACGCGACCTACTCCTGCACCAGCAAGAAAGTCCAAGCAAATGTACAGCAACACGGCATCGAAGGGGAAACACGAACACACACCAGAATTAAGTTCCGATTCGAACCGTGTGAATACAGTAGCCAAGAAAAAAAGTACATCGGACAATGACTCGAGTTCACCTACTCGAGAACGAAGCACAACAAAAGAAACTCGAGGAACAAAAACTGATGCAGATGGATGTAGTGATGGTCAGTCTGTAAAGATGGTACTTAGTTTAAATTCCATGCACCATGGTTCATTAGAAGACGCAATTTTGGACTTGGAAGAGCTGATAAACAGGATTAAATGGATCAAACAAATTTTGGAGGGTGGAACGGCTTTGCCAAATGCTTCAGGATCTTCATGGAAATTTCTGGAACACCGATCCTCATCTACACCAAAATGAATGCATCACAAGGAAAAAAGGTATTTTCACGAGTCTATGCATGAACTCTCTTTTGAAAAAATGCAAAACTCTGTGATCTCACTAAAATTTGATGCATCTCTCAGTTACCAACCAAAAGTTTTTCATCTTAAAAATGTAGTTATTCTCATATATATATATATATATGTGTGTGTGTGTGTTTATTTGTGGATTAGGATATGTGTCCATATAAAATCACTGAAGCTAATTTTTTTTAGAGTAATATTCTTTTAGAAAATAGTAAATTTATAATTGACTATTATTATTATTATTATTATTATTATTTAGTTTAATTACTTTTTATTTAATGTCTAAAAATGGATTATGTACCCATTGTTTGAAAAGTTGCCAAATAAACAAATAAAGGCATCAAATTAATATTTTTTAAAGATATTTTTAGATTAACATTTGTTATATTGTATTTCTAAATCTTAGATAAAAAAAAAATACATTTATATTTTCATTGTTTTTTTTTTTTTTACATTAAAGGCCTATATATATATTTAGGTTTTAATGAATTATTAATAAATTGTGGGGAGAGATAAATAGTATAAATTTAATTATATTTTTTATAATATAATTTAATAGATAAAACATCAATCAAGGTAGAAGATCCGTCCATATTTGTTGAAACAGTGGTACATAGTGAACTTTATTAGACAGTGTTGTTTCATTCCATACTAAAACAACGCACAACATAGAGCCTAGCTAAGAAGAAGACTTTGAAGAGATGGAGAAGAGAGCTCAGTGCTGAGATTTTCCTTCTCTTTATTGCTCCCTCAATGATAGGGTAATGAAGAAGCAAAGCAAAGGATAGCAGAAACATCTGCCCAAACATCTCCTCAAACTTCCTCTCCTTCAACACCTTACACATCTCACCCACTAGGCATATCACATTCCATACAGCCATCACAAACAGAGGAGCCATTACCATTCCAGCTCCCTGCAAATCAAACTTACCCTTTTCGTATTTCTCCAGCTTCTCTTTGTCTATTACTTTGTTTGTTAGGTTCAACTCCATCTTCTTCTTCATCAGGGCATCTACAAGCCCGAACAAGCAAGGCGAAACCGACTTCACCACCCAGATTCTTAGCTCATTCCACCTCTATCAGGTGTTGGTAGAGCGAGGAAACGAATACGGCAACAAACCATGGATCTGAAACCTGCAAATTCAGAACAATCTGATGTAAAAACAGGTTTGGTTTGGTTTACTTGCAGGGTTTGAGAGATTGTACTTACCTTGGGATACAAGGGGATGCCTTTCAGGAAGCCCCATTGAGGAACCACCCCATACAAGACGAAAGCAACTGAAGGCAGGAAGGAGAATGTGAAGTAGGCGTAGGCCATGCTTTGGAGAATTGACATCCTTGAGACACCGTATGTGAGAGGACTATACTTAGATAAAGCAACTTGGAACAACTCTGAGCTCCATTTTAGCATCTGAACCATGGCGTCTTTCATGTCCACTGGGCTGCAACCCAGGAAGCATGGCCGCTTTGAGTACAGATAAACAGAACTCCATCCTCTGCATTGCAGCAGATACCCACTGAAGGTGCTCTCCAGCAGACAATCATATGAGAATCCAATCTGAACAATCCAAAGAGTGAAGTTTAATTCTTGAATCTTTACACCAACTGTTTTAAGAACAGAACTTTCCTGTTTGCCCCATTCTGTGTTTTCCTCATAACAACATGAGGCTAAAGTTACAGCTTCATTCAACATCTCATCCGTAGGATACTCCTTTTTTGCATTCAACGAGTCAATGAACTTTTGGGATCGACCAAGAACTTTCTGTGGCTCTGAATCAAACCTCTCTGGGATTCATAAGAAACAGAGGAACCAAGTTTGAAATCAAAACAGACGAATTTCATTTACCTTCCTGATTAGGATTCCAAAACAACGCCTTCCTCCTCAAGAAATATCCAGTTCCGGACAACACCGGCCCTCTTAACCCATCCATTCCACGCCACTTAGTCTAAGAAACAAAACCCAGAAACATGGCATTTTGTCAAACAGGTAGCCTGCAAGAACCTCCATGTAAAAGCGAAAGGGTCGTAGAGGAGTTCATTACCTTGAAAGCAGGTCGGGATTGGTTGTCGTAGATATCATTTTTGCTGATATTGTAGAAAATTTGGAGGAACTGAACAAATCCCAGAGAGCTCGAAACGGCGGAATCGAGAAAGAAGCACATCGCTTGTTTAGCCGATGGTTGGGTCGTTGCAGTACATGTCGCAGTCTAAGATCAACAAATAGGGACTGTTGCTGATTAATCCGGAGACGCGAACCTGCAATCACGACGGTTTGGGATACAATTTCAACGAAGAAATGGAGGGTTTGAAGACGAAATTATCACAGAGCGGTTACCGGTGGAGAAACTTACAAGGGAATTGACGTTGCCGGCTTTGTACCGGTGAGGAACCGACGGTCTTCGTTCTCGAGAGACAGACGAGTAATGGCAGCCGGAAACCTTCTCCGTCGTCTTTTCCGTCGAGAATGATCTACAATGGTAATTCAAAATTCATTCGATTATATTTGAAGGCTAAATACTTCCCCGCAGTTGAAATTATAAAAATATTTCTTGGTTATTTCAAAATTATTCATGTGTAAGAAAATATAACAGAAAAATGAAATTATAAGTTAGGAATGTCGTCCTAGGTGCATGGTTAAATGATCCAATTGTCGGAGATAGTCCAACATTGATTAATTAATTAAGGAGATGATTAATGACTAATATGCTCCTAGAATCTGGTTGGTTTGGGTACCTCCACACGCGCAGATCGGTATTTGAGGACGCGGCTGTTGTCCTTGTGCAGTCCGAATCTTTCAATATTGTTCTTCATAGCTTCGTATTTTCTCTGTTTTCAAAAAATCGGCGTCGACATTACAAGCCATGTCAAATTATTCTAAATTTTCAACGCACAAAAAGGGAAGAACGAGGAGGACCTTAATTTCTTTCTCATCAGCTTCGAATTTCTCGTCTCTGTAAATCCGCTCCTCCTCGGCCAGAGACGAGAAGTAAATCTCCGGACATCTCGAGTTAATTCCGTACTCTTTACAGAACGGAACCCACACCTTCGCGAAACACCCAGCTTCTTTTACTGCATAAAGCGTCACCGGAGATCCGCCGTCGTCCGACAGGTAGACGCCCACCTTCTCCGCTGGATACTCCAGAGCCAGAGACGACAACACGGTGTTCATCTCCTCCACCGTCGGCTCTTTCGCCGGATCCGCTGTGGGGATGAACACGTCCACCCCTGGTAGCTCCTCGTCGCCGGGGATATTTTCTGGCGAGACGGAGCGGGATACCGGCCGCCATCGGAACGACTGGGTTAGGACCCAAAAGAAGGTGAAGATGAGTTCTGCGATGGTGCAGAGAGCCCAAAGCAGGGGAGAGACGACGTCTTTGCGACGGAATGCGGTGGTGATCCGGTAATAGAGAAGGAAAAAAACCGCCGTGAAGTGGAGGAGCATGTGAAGGCGGTTGAAAGCCATGGTCCGCCGGTGGACTGTTCGTGTATGGAGGGAGAAGGATGCCATTTTTTTTTCCTGGTTCGCACTCTCGCTTTTCTTACTTAAATATTGATGAATTTTTTAATTTAAAAAAAATGATTTTTGTCTTTGAAATTTGATTAAATTATTGTAAAGTAATTTAAAAAATGTTTTTGAAATTTAAACATTTTTTCTTTCAATGAATTTATGCAGCTTGTGGCAAATAAAATGGCTACCAATTTCAATTATTAGGTTCTTAATTTTTTAAAAATAAAATATATTTTAATTATATAAAGGAAAATACAGTAGTTTTATTTATTACAATTAAAAAAAATTGAATTAAAATATGAGATCTGCTCTGTTAAAAAAAAGTTGCTAATTCTAATAATAAACTCCATTATTCCGAGGTGGGCATGGGCAATTTAGACATTTACTTTATTATTTGGCTGCGCACGTTTTAAACGTGCCAACAATTAGATTTCACATTTTCTTTATTTTGTTTTTATTTGAAACTCATTTATTTTTATTTTAATTATAATTTTAGTTTCCATCTTTAAAAAAAAACCTAGAAAATTAAAATTTAGCTCAATTTTAAAGGATAGAATTAGTTTGGGTAATTAATAAAAACATGTGTACTTTGTTTAAAAAATATCTTAGTACTCCTGTTTAAAATCATTTTCTTTTTGAAATTGTTTAAGTTAGAAAATGATTTTGAAATTAAGTTTAATTGTTTGATAAATTTAAATTATTTGATTCAGTATTTAACTTAATTAATTTTTTTATATTAGGATTCAGAATCTAGATTCGGCATTTGATAGCTCGGACATGATTAAGTTATTTACTTTTCGCTTATAAGGATTTGAATCAGGATTCATAATTTGGACTCGGCACTCGATGACCCTGGCATTTTCCTACGACATGGTTAAGTTACTTACTATTTGCTTATAAGAGTGAATACTATTTCGACAGACTAATGCAAGTCATTCTAACATGAGTTGTCTTCACTCACATACATCATTGGAAAATTTTTAAGGTCACCTAAAATAGAATTGATCCAAACCAAACAAAACACTCCTAATCACAAGGTTTCTATAATTGAGTCACCCAAAAGAAATATGCATCTGGTTGGTATAAGTAAGAAACTTTTGATTCTTTCTTTGTTATCCTATTTTGAGGATCGTTCTCATTCGGAGATGGTATTGGCCCATTTATATACGTTTATTTTACTCGAGTGTCACTAGAATTAGCACTTACTAGAGATTTAGCTCGAATATCAACATTAGCTCTCTTACACACTTTGCTTAAAATTGAAAAAAATGAACGTGTTATTCAATTGGAAGGTGGCTTCATTTTTAGATATCTACTTGCCTTGTCTTTTCTCAAATTTTGGAATAATCTAAAGAAGAATATACCCTCGATTCTCAACAATTACTCCGACCTGTTCAACACTATGATTTTGCTCTTCAAAAAGGAACATCGACTCAAAAAGTTCCATTCGTCTAAGAAAAAAAAAACCATAAAAAATCAGTCTTGAACTCTAGAAGGAATCGAAGATCCATGTCTGTTGTTCTATCTTAAAGCTGAGAAGGATTAGTGGAATGGTTTGATTGAATAATGTTTGAGATGGAGGAGAGGAGTGAGAGAGACGGCAGAGGGCGTTGGCAGTGAGGGTAAAGACTGCAATTTGGGTATCACAACCTTAAAAAATGATACCCATATGTAGTATTGCATGGGCTCACCAAATTAGCCACCAGTTTTATACTTCAAATCTCAGTTAATAAAGGCAATAATCTTTTGTGTGTTTTGCTTCTCTGCTGGATTTTTTCCTTCTTCACCATACTTTTTCCCTTCTCACTCGTACCAATTTCTTGTATTTATTTTTCATTCTCATCTTCTCTTTTGTTTTCATTATTAAACAAACTCTATGATCTTACCTTGTTTAAGGTACTATATTTTTGATCCACAATGCACGTCTTAATTTGCCAATTTGAGTTCATTGAAGTATGTTAAACCACTTCTAAAAGTTACCAAATTTGATTAATGTGAGATTTTATATCGGTTGGAGAGGAGAACGAAACATTTCTCATAAAGATGTGAAAACCTCTCTCTAGCAGACGCGTTTTAAAATTGTGAGGTTGACGATGTTATGTAACGAGCCAAAACAGACAATATCTGCTAATGGTGGGCTTGTGTTATTACAAATGATATCAGAGCCAGACACTGAGTGGTGTGCAAACGAGGACGTTGGGCCTCCAAGGGGGATGGATTGTGAGATAACGAAACATTCCTTATAAGGGTGTGAAAATCTCTCTTTAGGAGACGCGTTTTAAAATCGTGAGGCTGATGACGATACGTAACGGACAAAAACAGATACTATCTGAATCTATACTAGATTTGGACATGAAAGTGAAACCCTAGGTATGATGATGTAGGTTTTTATGAAGAACAACACCATAACACATGGATACTTCCCACACCTTTTTGTTTCTATATATATCCAAACCCTAAATTCCAAACATCAACTCATTTTGTGGGTAAAAACACAATAATTCCATCTCTCTCTCAAGAAATGGAAACCAAAAGTTTGAAGATGAACAGCCCACAAGAAGAGCTTAGAATTACAAACAAACCCAAGAACACAAGAGGAGATCATCAAGAAGAAGAAGAAGAAGAAGAAGAAGACATTGTTGGATTTGCATGGGGTTCTTCAAGAGCTTATTCATGTGGGTTTTGCAAAAGGAAATTTCGATCTGCACAAGCTCTTGGTGGCCACATGAATGTTCACCGAAGAGACCGAGCCAAGCTCCGAAGATCTCCTCCATTGGGTTCACCTCATTTTCATGGATCCTCGTCTCAACCCATTAAGTTTCTCAAACTCTATGATTTCTCAAGCCTTAGTGGTGAAGAAGAACCAGATGGAGAGTGTAAAATTTGGAAGAATGTTAAGAAGTTTGTGAAGGAGATTGATTTTCTTGGTAGTTCCAATGAGATTGATTTGGAACTTAGATTAGGGTTTTAGCTTACTTTTGGACTCAACTACAAATGGAGTTCATTATCCATGAATCAGTTTTTGTTTAATTTCTTAATATATTATGGTACCAAGGTTGCATTCGTCATGTACAACTAAAGTAAATCGATGATAAAACAAACCGCTCATATTCATGATTCAAACCAAGATTTGTAATTTATATTTTGATATATGATGACACCAACATTCTCTTCTTGAGACATGACCATGTTGTTTACTTGTTTTGAATTATTTTTTAGAGTAAAGACCCCAACATTCTCCTGCATCCCGTGCTACAAAACCATGTTGTCTACTTTTTTTAAACTACTTTTTAGAGTGAAGACCCTGACATTCTCCTACATCCCGTGCCACATGACTATGTTATCTACTTGTTTTGAACTATCCTTACAAACCAACACAAATTTCTTTAACATGTTTTATCTTCACTCACATATTTTTAAGAGGTCACCCAACATAAATTGTTCTGAGCTAAACACGTTTAACTTCAAGTTCTCTGAAAAACAAGATGCACCTTGAATCCCGAGCATAGAGGTTTAAGAAGGTAAACCAAAAGTCAAACGAGTATTAAATTAGGGTTAAATATCCAAACCTATAATTTATGAATGGGTGGAATGAAAATAAAAGTAATAGGGTTCCCATTTGACGCCACCCTTCATTACCATTTCTATTAATTGTAATGCATATGAGTGAGACAGGGCATTGGGGATTTGAATATGACAAGAAGACAGCGTCATAGGCTGTGTTTCCTTAACCAAAATTTGATGTTTTTGCATATTTCCAACGATGTTTGGTTGGAAGTAGACATGATTCCTTTTCCCTCTTGGGATTTATGCCTTTCTTTTCCCCCTCAAATTTGAAGCATCTCACTGCAATCACAACATCTCTTTTTTCTCTCATAAACACTGCACCTTTGCAAAACCACCTTAAAACCCCTTCCCCTCTTTCCTTTTTCACTTTTGGCTTTTACTTCATAAATTTAGCTATGGAATACTTCTGGCTTGTGTGTTCCATCCAAGATTTTGTAGAATCTAATCTATATTTGGATTGTTCATCATGTGAGAAGTTATATGATTTGTGTTTGATTTTACTAAAATACGTATAGATGTAACGACGGCTTAAGGTATTTGAGTTTTACGAGCCGTTCCGATTGAAGACAGGAGAATGTGAAAGAAAATATTTGGTACAAAGTTTTCGAAGATTGAGCGTGAGAACGAGTCATTGAGTTATTAAATATGTTGTGACACCCGAGTAAACGAGGGGTACATGAATGAACCAAGACGACATCTAAATGAGAGAAATATTGAGGATACGATGACTATGAAAGACTTAAGTCACATTTATACCAACAAGGTGCACTTTTCTTTTTTATGACTCAATCATCGGTGGTCATAGTTAAACGTGTTTTATTAGGAGCAATTCTATGTTGGGTAACTTCTTAGGAATTTTCCTAAGATGCATGTGAGTGAGAAAACATGTTGTAAGGAATTATGTTGATATGTGGGGATAGTCTTCACTCTTGTAGGTAACGTGATCATGTCACAGAGGATGCAAAAAATTACCGGGTCATCATGTGTCGAGTTTGGATCTTGAATCCTGGTTATAGGGTCGTTGTATATGTACTCTCAACCAAAAGATCAAATTTTTAAAAACGAGACCAAGTTCAAACCTTAAGCTAAAACAATATTATAAAAAAAGAACAAATAAATGAGAATGTTTCCATTTGTCACAATGAAATATAACAATAGAAATGTCCATTTGTTGTTGGAGGGTTTTGCATGGACATATAGAATGGGATCATCTCCTTATTGAAAGAAAGACTTTGACATTATCAAATTATTAAGATATAAACCCTAAAAAAACAAGAACAAAAAGGTATATCGTTAACAACTACATTGACATTAACATTTAAAAATTATAATTCTTTAAAAAAACCCCATTTTTTAATTGTGGATTAGAATCAATTAATATTTGTATTAGAGAAGGAAGATTCATAAACACATCCAAATGACAAAACCGAAAGCAACTAGAGCAGTTGAATTCACATCACAGCACACATGTCATTAACAAATAGATCAAACAAAGCCGGCACCCACAAAAATTCTAAGCACAAACATCAAAATAGTCTTCTCAATCATGTTTCTATAATATCTCTTCCAAAACTTCTTTTCCCCTTCCTATTCTCCCAAAAATCTCATCTTTTTCGTTATGGATTCAGAAAAATTGAGCAGCAGTTCGGAGAGTTCGAGCGAAGAACAATCTGATCGAGTAAACGAAGATGATTCGGATTCGTTCAGGGTTAAACGTTCATATGGGTGCATATTTTGCAAGCGTGGGTTCACCAACGCTCAAGCTCTTGGAGGGCATATGAATATCCATAGAAAAGATCGAGCCAATAAAGCTAAGCAAATCGCCTCTTTTTGTGTTCCAAGCAAGCAAAGTGAGCCATCAACCTTCGTGAGTACGCCTAATTTTGAGCCACTTTTGGTTGGGTCTAAGGTGAGTTATGAAGCATCGGGTTCGAACCCAGATGGGTACTTCCAAGGACATGGCAACTTGAATATGAACCTTTGGGGGGAAGATTTGAGCCTAAGAATTGAACCAAGTAAGGGGAGGAGAGGGGTTTGGAGCGGCGAGGGTTTGGATTTGGAGCTTCGACTTGGCCATTATCCCTAAATCTCTACTTGTTTATATACCATGATGCATTGAATTTCACTTCGTTTAGTACACTAATTATGCTCTTAGGGTAATCATTTTCTTTACTCTTTATGAAGACAAAGCTTTTATATCTATTTTGTTCTTGTTATTTCTTGAGCAATTAGGGTATTGAAGCTCCCATAACATTGGATTAATCATGCTTTAGTTGACCAAAAGATTATGACATATAGATTATCTTTCAATTCCTTAGCTGTTCTTTGTATTTTGTAGTTTGTTTTAGGAATAGACAATCTAATAATTTGGTTATTCAATGTGAAGTTGGTGTAACAATTCCGTAAATAAAATTTTCTTTTGAAAAAAAATCCCTAATTATTTCATGCTTTTGTTCATGAAATTGTGATAGGTAAAAGAAATTTTGATTTGCTTTATCTATGTATGCTTAATTCTTTGATAGATATTACTTTTAACAATAATGGATTTTACCTATACTCGAAAGCATTGGAAAAAGTTACAAACAAGGGCCGAGAAAAGTTATTCCAACCAAAAGTTCTCTATAAAAAAATTTCGACACAAGTTATCCCGACCATAATTTCTCTATCAATTTTTTTTTTCCTGTAACCCTATTGCTTTTGGTGTATGTTGTTGAACACAACGAGTTTATGGGAACACTCAGAAACTACTATACTACTGTGCAATAGAGAACATACAGATTTATTACTAAAATATCATATTCATGAGAGCAACCCTAAGGATATGATGGTTAAAAAAGGCTTAAAATAATTAAAAATTACTCATTATACCAACAAATTGTACCTTCCTTTAGGGTGACTAAATTATAGGAACTCAGCCTTTTATTTAGAACAAATTTACATTCCGTGACATCGTATAAATTATCTTAAAATGCATTTGAATAGAAGGATGGACTCGAGCAACGAAAATGAAATAAAAATAGTTATGATCAATTTAAACAAGATTGTCTCCATGTGCCCAAAGATGCCCACCAATTCCAAGGTGTTCTCCATGATTATTTGGTACCATCATCTCATGAATTGAAGCTACCGTCAGAGGATACGGCAGCGACGGCGGCGCCTCCACTTCTCCGCTACCTGCGGTGGCCGGATAAACCTCATCTTCTTTATGATCGTTTTCTGAAGGCAATCTCTCATATATTGCATTAGCAAAAGAAGCGGCAATCAACACTACAGGCCCAGACGCCAACAGCGGGCCCACGACTGTCCCTCCGATCACCTGCCCCTGCCCGCCAGCGAGGTATACGGTCAGCCCACTCGAACCGGGAGCGGCTCGACCGGGAAGAAAAGAACCGGTCAAAGACAGCATCTCGAACCGGCCATGAAGTGGAATCACAGCAGCCGACTGCCGAAGAGTGACGTCGTCCACCATGCCCCTGCCGCTGAGAACACAAACCCCACACTGCCGGCGGCGAGAAAATTGATTTATGATGTCGGCGACGTCGTCTCCTCCGGCGATCTCGATCACGTGCGTGCTAAGAGCGTGAGGATTGTCGCGCGTGACGATAATTGGGGATTTCTGTTTGTTTTTGGATCCCAGTGGCCGCCCTCTCGATGGGCGGTTGCCAACCACCACCATGCCTTCTTTCTGCTTGTCTTCTTCGTCGTCATGATCCCTTCCTCCGCCGTTGACGACGGTTTCTGCTGGATCGGTGGCCGGGAAGCCGACCCGACTGACCCACCACGGATTAGCCAGAGTAGCGGAAAATGAAGGCAAATTCGAAAAAGATTCAGTTTTGAAAAATGGGAAGATGTTTATATTTTATGGGTAATTATTTTTTCATATCATAAGCGAAAAACGTTATTATATACAAAACATATTGTACGGACACCACAAGTTTTAGGTCAAAAATATTTGAAGTTTATTTTAATTTCAAAGACGTGAACAAAAAGGTTCATCAGTTGAAATATTACTTTGTCCAATTGCACATACCCAACTTAAACTTTTTTATAAACATTGGTAGAAAATTCGTCAGATCCTCCTACTCTTGTTTCCTATATACTTCCAAAAACAAAAAGCAACAACAAATCCCAATTTAATGTTTAAAACACATTATAAATTTAGATAATGTTAAATAGCTTACCACTAATTGCATCACAAAAAGAATTCAAAATAACAATCATCATTTGACCAACTAATCCTTCTCGTGAATTCAACTAGTAATCACCAAACCAAATCCACCTACAAACCTATTAAAGTAGTCTAGTAAGATGGGAAGTGTCTTGTCTTAAACTAACCTGAAAATAAAAACCTTCTTTCATTCAAAAGCATGAGCAAAAAGAACACTCTTTTTATGTACCTATTACTGGTTGAATGCAGTATATATTCTAAACCCATGGATATGCTTTTAGCTCGTCAAAAAATAGTAACAATAATAATAAGCAAACAATAAAAGGAAAAAGAAGAAAGGGGGCCATTTATTGACCTGTTCCAGTCCATTAAAAATATGTATTTTTGGCAAGTCTTGTGTTGCAGAATCGTGTGGCCTGTGTTCCAATGTTCTTGCAAAGACAAGGACTATGCTGAGGTGGGAACAATCATGCAATGCATCTAATACGTCACGTTGAGTTGACTCGACGTACAAATCTTACTTTAACTTTGCATGAAGAATCTGAGGAACCTAGAAATCAAATACAAAAATGGGGAAATCAATCTAAAAACCAAAATTGTAATGCAAGAGAGAGAAGGATATCAAAATTGCATTCACTACTGTATAAAAGGAAAACTGAACATTCAACCAAGCTTTACCAGATTTCACTTGATAAAACATGGTTGCGAGCTGTTATATAACAATGTAAATGAAAAATGCAATGAAATATGAAAGAACTCGATAAAATGGTGTAAATATGTAATTCAGGTTCATCAAACAACATGGATTACGTTGGAAAAAGTAATGTTGGAAAAAGTAGATGATCAAAGTGAATTGTTGAGCTGAACCCTTACCTGATGAGATAGAAAAGAAGTAAGAAGGACAATACAAAATAAACTGCAAGTCTACAAGTTCTCCACTTCGATTTTTGCTCAAAAACCTACAGAACATGTACATTGAGAACTTGGAAAAATTAGGAGGATGCATGGAAGTAGTAGACGTTTACAAGATCAAGGAATGTTCTATCATATTTCTAGGACTGGATTTTCTGTATCATTTTACTTTTTGGAACATATATGGTTGTTTGCATTTACTAAGTAAGAAGAAAAATATTGGGAGCAAAATAGATTTTTTGCAAGTTCAGTCCAACAATGCAAGTGCTGAACTTGCAAAAGCTCTCTCTCAATTTCTCTTCATTTTCTTTCTCCCTATAAAGGGTACATAACGAACAAAAACATTCCCTAAACATGACGAACTCAAAAAGGCTTAGATCATGTACCATCTTGAATCGATCCATGGTTCTTGACATTATACCCCTTGAAGAATCCATGCCATTTCCCTGGATTAGAATAAAATCCATATGAAGATGCTCCTATCATTTTCCACTGACAAAACACAAACAAATAACCTTGAAGAAACAACATACCATTCGGTCAAGTAAATTATTATGACTCTCCACTTCTTCATGAATGTCACCTGTCAACTATTTCAAATAATATGCATATTAAGAGTTAAGTCGAAGTACAAAAAGATCCCTAATTCTTGTTATATATATCAAGGGATGATGGAGCTATATAGTGATCACTTAAGCTGATCCACATGAAGTGAAGTGTTACTTTAAGTACTATGTAAGGAAATCATATATGTAAGTTTTTTTTCCACACTCGAAAATCCAAATCTCATACTTCAGCAATCCTCAAAAGTATTTCTATTCCTAGAAATTCACCATTGTAAGCAGTGAGAAACTGAAAATTACTATATCATTAGTCATTACAAGGAAATTTGGACCCATAATCTAAGAGTTCGCTTATCATTATTTATTAACTCCAAGTGTTCTACCACTATGTCCAACCTGAACATAAACTAACTAAACCCACTCAAAAGTCAATATTAACTAGTTCACTTATCCCAGAGCTCTCTAAGCACAACAGTCTATTGCATCAAAGGCACTTTCAGGCAAGAATCATACTTGAAATGAGCTCATTATAGTACTAAATATGGATGCTTAGATGCATAAATACAGCTGAAGAAATTCTCAAAGAATACACTTCATATCCATTTGCCTAATCATTTTTGTCTAATGGTTAAAGAATCTGAGGTAAAAGGATGAATCGATGAATTGCAAAAGGATCTGAAGCAATAAATTTTGCGCATGCAGCAACGAGGAAACAGCTACAAGATACCAATGCCAAAATGATTGTTTATAATTTAAAAAAAAATAAAAACAGCTTGCTAAGTAAAACGGCCAGGAGATTATAATAAAGGGAGATCAGACATAGATAAATAAATAATTAAGGAGAATTTCCCTGCTTAAAACTAACCCTCTTCAGAATAGAAACTCTATCTTCCAAAGTGAGGAGCGCTCTATCATTGTCATGCTCTTTAATTTCAACCGCAGAAGCGCTAGCTCTGAGACCACCCTCCTCAAGGTCATCAAAGAGTGCAGATCTAGAAGAACGGTGCTCTCTATGAACAAAATCGATACCAGTTATTTCAAATGAAATAAGATATGTGGTATAAAAAATGAGATACGAGTATTCAAGAGTAGTATATGTGTATAACAAAATCTAATCAATAAAACCAAAATAGACTACAATTTAACTCCATGTTACCAAGGAGGAAGACGCAAAACGATTAATAGACCCCAACATCCAGAGTAACAGAACTGCGGAGATATTTCACCTCATTATGCTTTCATTCAAATTACTTCTCAAAATATGCACGAAAACTTAAAACCACGGCAGAAAATCTAATAATCATTTGCAGCTTTTTAATTCATCATAGGTTTCACACTTCTGTCTCGCGGTTATGCATCAAGATCGAAAACCGCATTTTATCATACAAAATCGGTGCAATGACCTGCTCTATAGTTTAAACTCTGTTTTATCCCAAATTGCATCATTAAAAGCTCAAACATACAGCATACTCAAAATACAACACAAGATCAGAACCAAATTCATACAAAAGCTACCAAATATAAGATCACAGAAACTCCACGCGAGTTAATCAACGAATTGACAATAAAATAAGGTAATAATCAGAATTTCAGGCGCTAACGGAAGCTTATTCAGTTTAACCAAAAAAAGATCCTCAGATCCAAATCATAGGTTCACATTGCAGCGGAACAATCTCATGGAATAATTAAATCACTTCAAGTGAATTTTGAGCGTATAACCGAGAAAAGAACTTGGAATTGACTAAAATTTCGGATACGAACCTTCTGTAACTCATCACGGGCTCAGTTCTGCGAAATGCGTTGCTCTTCCGCCACAATTAGTTCGAAATTGTACAGAAATATTCGATTTGATCGACGGAAAAATCCAATTGAGACAATAACCGATCGCGAGAAAAATCTATTCCGTTCGTGTACCGGGGAAAATGAGGACAAGAGAAAGAAACCAGCACTGGCTTCGAACAAAATTGAATACCCTTTTCCTTCTATTCCCTTCCGGTGAGCGCTAAATCGAACTGCCTCTTTCGTATTGTAGACGAACTTAGCCCACTATATCTGGGCTCAACATAACTTGATGAAGTTAGCCCATGATATTTGGGCCCATCTGAGTTTCAGCCCAATGTATGATAGCCCAACACGCACTTAATTTAGTCTTTTTAAGCTCAAAATATCATCTTCGGTTTCGAGCCATTTCAATCCATACACTTTTAAATATCAAAATAAATAAACTTAAAATTAGTTTTTATTCTTGGTTAGAAGTTAATTTTTAAATGAAATTATTTAAATAATAATATGATAATTTTTAAAACTAAAAATTAAAAGAATTAAATTAAATTAAACATTTAAACATACGGTGGTTATGGAACCAGTGGCAAATACATGATTTCTGTCACAGAGGCAAGTTTTAAATATTTAATCCCTTGGATTTTTTTTTATTTTTTTTTTATCAGTTCTCAATAACTAAAAACAACTGTATACGTATTTATATATACATTCAAATCGACTATAATGTTAGGTACCTCGACTCCAACCTGGACTGTTTTCACAGTTGAATCTTCGAGCTTTTACTTGATCAAATTTAACGTCAGAGAATGTGATCGAACAATCTTATAACTCAAGGATGAGTTTCTTTCTAAAAGATTTTTTTTTTCTTTCTCAATTCTAATATCTTAAAGAATGAAGAGTAAATATCTTAACTAATTGACCTATGTTCGGGATAGCCGGAAATGAGAAAGATCTCGGATGAATTGATGATGCACATGGGAGCACATTATGATGACCCAACTACATGGGCAAAGAAACCTTTAAGGCCACAATGAATGCAACTCCATCCATTTATCCCATTATGGCTACACAGAGCTGTGAAGCCACAACATTCATTACTTCCAACTTTTAGGAAACTTTGGACCATTTTTCCATCCTACCCATTTGATTTTAACATTGCTCTTAATATTCACTGCTAGGTGAAAAATGAAACTATACAATTATTACTGAGTTACTTAACAATTTCTGCCGACTAGGTAGTTTTTATTAGTCAAGCTTCGGCTCCCGAGTGGGAACTGGATTCGTCCCTATCAACTTTCAACTTCATGCTAATAGATTAGAGTCAAACTCTTAACTTAGCCACTAGAGTTTATACTCAAGTGTATAGTCAAAAGTGACTTAAGTGTTGAACAAATGGTGTACTTTGTTCGAGGGCTCCAGAGAGAAGGGAGGCAAGCCGGCCTCGACTAAGAGGGTTGTTCGAGGGGCTCAAAGGGGTGAGTGTGTGTATGCAGCAAATCGGTAAGAAATATATTTCATCCATTGATTTGGCAAGATATAGATATGGTTGTGATTTAAATACATCAAGCTACAGTTCTATATTTAAATTACAACCACCAAAAACATTTAAAACAAAAGAACGAATCATCGGTCGGGTCAGGTCGGGTTGGAAATGGGGAGAGAAACTAACAGTAGATCTATGAACGAGTTTGAGCACCAAATTCCCTGATGCAGCCTGATCGCTTCATGCAGAAAAACAGGAATTTTCCACCTGAAAACCAAAATTATACTCAATCTACTGCAAGTTCAACACCAAATAAACAGCAAACCGAAAGATCACTGTGTTTGGATTTGGAAGTGATAAAAAAGATATCAGATAAATGAATGATCGGCCACAAGTTAGTACTATACGGTGCGATTATTCGAGGCATGTCGAGAAAAACTATGAGATCCCACATTGGTTGAGATGGAAACGAAACCTTCCTTATAAGGAAGTCTAATAGACGCGTTTTAAAAACTTTGAGAGGAACTCCGAAAAGGACAACATCTGCTAGCGGTGGGCTTGGCCTGTTACTAGTGGTATCAGAGCCAGACACCGGGTAGAGTGCTAGCGAGGACGCTGGTTCCCCCAGGGGGTGGATCGTGAGATCCCACATCGGTTGGAGAGGGGAACGAAACATTCCTCATAAAAGTGTGGAAATCTCTCCCTAGTAGACACGTTTTAATAAACCTTGTAGGGAACCCTGAAAGGAATAGCTTGAAGAAGACTATACCTACTAGCGGTGAGCTTGAGCTGTTACAAGAACGACGACAATGTTTCATATCATTATGGATGCAAATGAGTGATTTGGATTAAACATTCATACCTCTCAACAGCAAACAGTGACGAAATGAAGTCCCCATCAGACAATTCTTTCAGTGTGCTAAAGCTGCTCAGTATTCACAAGATGCATTGTTTCATAAGGGAAACAATGTCTTCAACTAAGATATGAAGCTTTACATTGCAACTGCCACTCCATACAATCTTCGAAGTCGAAACTACTCGCGCAATCCAGCAATGCATTTTGCTGATGCTCGTAACGACAAATGTAATTCAATCCAACAAGAAGCTCACATATGGCGTCCTCGGTTTTCTTGCAATCAGCGAAGTAAATAGTTTGGATTAGCAAAACGTTAGTCCGTGTCACAATCTGATGTTGTTCGAAATTGCGCTCGCTTTGCCATCGAATCATATTGTGTGCCAATGGAGCAAGCCAGCTCAAGATCCCGTCGAGTGTCTCCTTCCAATCATGCGCAAGCGGAGCATCATATATGGCTAGGCTCTTAACATAGGACTTCAGATGTTTATTCAGGGATGTTCTTAAACTCGTTGGTAGCATCTGATACAAATCGTCCCGAGCTTCGTCTCCAACTAAATGAGGATAACGAAGCAACTTTTCTATGACAATGATGATATTGGCATAATGCAAAGCAAGAGCCGAGCCTCCAACAGTCGAAACCGGGGCATAGACAGATAACCTACTCTTGAATCCAAAACTTCCTCCATTGTTAGACATCACACTTTTGGCTTGTCTTTGCTCTACCCCAAATGGAACAGAGAACTGGACCTGACTGAACGAACCGAAATGACTCGAGCCACTATTCCTAATGCTACAACCGGAGATTCGGAAGCTCCGATCATCATAACCGTTCTCGTCCTCCTCCTCCTCCTCATCCCTCTTGGAAACTGAACTACTTAAACTGAGACAATCCATCAAAAGCCTCCCGGGATTGGTTCCGCAAGGGAAATTGAAGTCATCAGGTGTAAACAACGGAACCTCGCCTCTTCTTGTGCTAATTTGAGACTTGAAACTCGAGCCTCGTCTCGGTCCGGGGCGTGACACACGCTTCGATTCCAATGACTCTGAACCAATCTCAACATCCTTCTTCAGAAAAGAGTCTCCAAATACCAAATGAATCCTTGCATAAACAGTACAAACAGTTCTAGCTAGCAATTCAACAACCTTATCAAAGGTTTGGTTCCAAAGAGAAATCTCTTTGAGATGCCCCACGTCTTGTTTCTGCCATATAAGTTTCTGTTCATAAGCTTTTCTACTCTCTTCATGTTGATTATTCTGAAACTTCTTAGCAGCCTGTTCCAATTCATTCAAAACCTCCATTTCAGTGTACAAATTGGCCGTAGCATTCACAAACCTCTCCATTTTCTTCATCATCCCTTCCATATCCTTAACCAAAAACCCCAATTCCTTCACATTTATAACCCCATTAATGATATCCAGATAAACATGTTCAAAACCCTGTAACGCAGGTTGAGAACACTTCTTCCCAAGCCTAGAAACCACATGAGCCACTCGGTTCAAATCCTCCAGCTTCTCTGCAACCACAAGCTCGAGAAGATGAACCTCATCAAAGGACACGAGGTTCCTAACTCCATCAGAGCTCAAGATGTCGTTCTTGAGCTTTGAAATGGCCGAATCAGACAGGGATTTATGAAGGTAAATCGTTTTGGACATTACATTAGCAACTTCAAAAGAGAGAATATCGATTGTTTGCTTAGTATTGCTCTTATTCTTTGAAGGTTCGAGAAGGGCTTGCTTGAGATTAGCGCTAACCTGGTTCCCCATTTTCACAATCCAAGGCTCTGCAACCATTGCTGCTCGTCAATTCGAACAGAAACAGATCTGGGTATCGATGAAAACCCAGTCCTTTTGAGAGTAATCTTCGAAAGAAGAACGAAATTAGATTGAACCCAAATGACCTGCAGATCTGAAGAAGAAGAAATTAGAACAGTTAGAGAAATTAGAGCAAACCCATTAGATTTGATGAAGATTGGGAAGAATCAAAGAGTTGGGAAGTGGAAAATCATTGATGGGTTTGCATTAAAGAAGAGGAAGAGATGATTACTGAGAGAGAATTCGGAGGTCGAAGAGCGGCGCCGAACAGCTCATTGATGAACAAAACCCAGAAGAGAGGGAGAGCGATTGGAGGGAAAAAACAAAGACGCACTGTGTGACTAATTTGAAGGTCAAAAACGGTGGAGAACAGTGATGTAGTCGTAAATTCACGTTCTTTTGACTTTTTTTTTTTTTTTTTCTTTTTGAAAATTTGGAAAAATAGCCGAACTTTTTAGAGCAATTGAATTTGAATTTGATGAAATTAGTTTATGGCGATATTATCTCGTCCTTGTTTCGTCCATTCCAGAAGATTTGGTGAATTTTTTTTCAAGTTCATGTCGATAATGATTTGGATAATCCCAAATGTTTATATTATGAGCAATTACAATGATCTTGTTCAACTGTTCCAAAGATTTTTCCAGCCTTAAGTTTTTTTGATATAAAATTCTTCAAGCTTTCTTTTTTAAAAATTTAAATTTAGATAGCTTTATTAATATATTTTAAGTTTTTAAGACTTTTTATTTATTAAGTTTTATAAAGTTACAAACTTTTAAAATGTTTCGTGAGAGGTCAATAGTTTCATTTTGAGGTTATATAAGCTATGTATGTTATATTGGTAAAGTAGACCTTAAAAATACAGTAGGACTAAGTTTGTTTCCAATTTCATATAATTTAGGTGGCATGTGTAGATCATTCAAACCTGACATGATTGATCATGCTTGTGGAGCAATTCGAATCTCAAACAAGTGTTATTGTCGTGAAATATATGATCAACAACATAATCTAAATCGTAGTTTTGAATTTATAATTTAATGGAATGATTTTTGATTA